TGGTTAGTGTGTTGTTTGCATGTTGTGGAGAAATAAGTAGGGTTCTTAGACATTCTCCAAGACACCACATGGTCACCTTCTGTCCCTGCATGTCCATGGAGTGCTTTCAGGGCGGGACTGGTCCCATCTTTGGTTGGTATTGACAGAAATTTGCATGTATATTAAATGCCAGCCTGAAGTTTTCGGTTGGTTCTAGTAGCTATCTAATGCTTCTGTAAGGGTAGAGGAATGGTCTAGTCTTCCCCCTTAAAGGTTTTGCTTGTTTGTTTTTTGGATAACCAGCTAATATTGTTTATGTTTCTTTTCACCTCCTTTTATGGCACAGTTGCAAGTGAAGCCTGTAAACCACCAGATGATGCAGCATTTGATATAATCACTGATGAGGAGCTGTGCCAAGTACAGGAATCAGACTCTCTCCACAATGAAAGTGAGATGGAAAGAGACTCTCTGGATCAAGATCTGTGAGTAAACACAGCTTGATGGAAAGGCAAATCTCTTGGGTTTTGTTTGGAGTGTTGTTTTTTTCCCATTCAGTGAGGATAGCCAACCTCTGCATAAATAGAAGACACTTCTATTCCCAGCCACATGTTCAGTAAACCAACACAAAATCATTTTGGCCTAGTTGCACAGTCAGCATCAAATCTAATAAATTGAAACAGCTGTGTCCTCTCCCTCCACCTGCTTCACCACAGCACGGAGGAGTGATCCAGTTCTGTGCTGTCATCAGGCCAGCTGCCACCATTAAAATCACCTGGCAGGCCATACTGGATTGCTGGTCATTCATACTTAACTTATAAGATAATAGGAGCTAAGTGATACTCTCTGTCAAATACACCATTACTTAGTATCAAGAGAAGGAGATGGAGAAAGATAAGGAAAGACGTGCTCTTTCTATGACAGTCCTCTTTGAACTGATTGTGAAATAGCTGTGTCTGTAGGATTCTTTACTACTTGAAAGATAACAGCTTACAGAAAAGAAAAAGAACAGCAATTGCGTAGCTAACTCTGGCACAAGTTTGTTCTTTTTTCTTAAGAAAATTAGAGTGAATGCAGATTTCAGTCTTTTTTTTTTTTACATCTACTTCTACATAAATTAGCAATGAAGAGGATCTAAGGCCATCTGAGTATCTGGATACTTGGTTTGCAAACTGTTGTAATATTATAGTTTAATATATATCCATGTTTATACAAAATAATTTCTTACTGTTCAAATATTTTAAAATATTTTCCAAAAATTCTATTCTGTAAAATGCATTATCTTTCAAAAGCTTTTATATATTGGAGAAGAAAAAAAAAAAAAAGAGTGGTTTTACCTAAGTTGTGTACTTGTTTTGCTTCTGAGCAGAAAAAGAAGTGTGATAAATCTAAATGCTAAACTGAAAATAGCCGCAGAGTAACCAGCCTACTGCTGAGAAAGCAGACTTAGAGTTTTCGCCCTCAAGAGACCCATTTCCGGCATAAACCACAGTGACTTGCAATTTGGGTAGAAGGCAGACTATACAGACGGGCTTTTGGAAAAAAAAGCCTTTTCAAAATTCTACATTTTTGTTCCTTGGTGAATAAGTTCTGTGCATTCTGCCTGGTTTGTGTGCCGTTGGCACTGACAGTATATTCATGTCCATCATGCGTTGGGCAGACGTGAACTAACTGAGCTTCACAATGCTCTTGTGAAGTTAGTATTGCCTTTCTTTTGCAAAGGGACAATTTGCAGTCAGGGATTTTTGTTTGTTTGTTTGAAGAAGAAGAAAAAAGTGTACTGTACTACTACTTTGAATTCATGCTACCTCCAGAGGGCATATCACAGGTGAGTTAGCTCCAGAGAATACAACCAGGAGAAAAGAAATAAATGCATGTCACCATTTTTTTCAGTTTGTGATTAGGCTAGATTCATCTTGTCCCACAAAGTATTCAGGCTGGAAGGAAAGATTGCCACTAACAATGGAATACTATTCTGGAAGGGCGCCCATGCAACGTCCTACTTGCACCACGTAAACTTTTAAAGGCTGTCCATCTCCCCTTGCTCACAGATCATAGGCAGGAAAGCCAGGAAATAGTGTTTTATCCTGTGTCATTCTTGGTTCATCAGTGTTACGAGCCGGGGGGAGAGTCCTACAGTGGTCATACTTGGAGCTTGAGACATACTTTGCAGGGAACACGAACCACACCTGCCCCTCCTCATGACAGTGTTTGAAGGGTCTCACTTGTCTGAAAGTTGGAGGAGAATGCAGGAGAATGGCCTTCTCGCATTGTGGATGACCTGAGTATCTCGTGTTGATTGTGTGGTTTTGTGTTACGGGAGAAAAGCAGAAGCTGTTATGTGAGTCAGACGATGGTGTGGCACCTGTGGTATGTGTTGAAGAAAAAAAGCAGAGCGCGATGTTGATTATGAAGTTCATTTGTCTCTGTGGTGAAGAGTATATTTGTACCCAAAGCCTGAGTGTATCTTAGCACACGAGAAGATAATGCAACATTTTATACCACGGGTGTTTGAAGGTAAACATGTCAGACCCAGTATTACAGAATGTGAGCAAAGCTTCCGCTAACCCTCTGTCCTGTCTTTGACAGCAGCCCATAGTAGATGTACTGATAATTTCCCAGTGTCTTTTTTCCCACCTTCCAAGGATCTGCAGTTCAGGGACTTTCTGAGCTACTGGTTTCACTGCTGCAGATTTCTTGGCCATACTGGACTGGTGGACCACCTTGGCTTCATGTAGACCTTTGATCATTTTTTCTAAAGTGACTAGCTAAATGTGGCCTGATTTCTATGCGGATATTTCAGGTAATCTTGAAGTATAAATAAAAATCCACTGGCATCCCAATAATGTTCTCTTTGCATGAAATTGAATAGATGGGGTAGAATTTGCTTTGATATTGTGCCTGGATCTAGAAAGGATCCAAGGTTGTGCTTGCTAGATGCATGTCTGAGGAATGCATACAAATAAGTAAGTTTTCAGGCCACTTCTTTATTGGAATTTTGCTGAAAATAATCCAAGCTATTCAGGTTTTTTTTTCCAGAGATTTGAACTAATTGGTGCAGCTCTAAAAGGGAGGGAGATGAGCAGCCAAGAAAGGGAAGAGAAGGGAGGCTGGATGTGCCAAACAGAGAGAAGATCTGCAATAGCCATGCTCTGTTGCCAGAGTTTCTTACGGCCTTACTCTGTTGGAGTGTCTGGATGAGTTTTTCACACTGGTGTTACCTTATTTTGGGTATGAGTCCTTGCTGGACTGGAAGAGGGAGCTGATACTCAAAGCAGTAAATTGTCTTAAAGTACATTTTCTTTTCTATTTGTCCTCCTTTTGGTGTCTGCTGTACTGTTACTCTATTTTTCACTTGTTCTCTTCACTTAACTCTGCCCCTGTAGTTCTTTCCTTGAAGTGACATGAAATGGTTACAACAGCTTTACTTCTTAACAGCAGGCTTTGAGACCAGGGAGGGTTAAGCAAGAGATGCTTCGTACATTCAGGTCTGTTATTTGAGTTTGGAGCAGCCTGATTGAAATCTTGATGTGAGAAGCTGAGATAAGTTGTGCGATTGCGGTACGCCTTGCTGCTTCAAGGCTCATGGGTTCTCTTTTGAAGTGTTGTATTTTTAAACTCTTTCATTTCTAAAGCATTCACATTTGCCTACTGTGTTCTAAAACAAAGGGCATGATATTGCATAGCACTGGGTCAAAGTTCCCAGGGCAAACCAGTGCTTTGTATCTCCCATTTTAACATATTGTAGAAATTACATGCCTGCAATAAATGTCTCAGCAGCAGAATCAAGATGATAGACAGCAGAAGTTTAAAAAAATAAATTGAAAAAAAAAATAAATTAGCACTATCCTGGTACAGGAACAAAGTTTATTAATACCTTGGTACTGCTTTTGATAGAAAGGACGACTCAGCCTGTCTGCGCTGCGGTTGCTTTGTTTTGGATTCTTTTTTTCTTAATGACTCATAACGCTCTTTCCTGACCTAATTAGAGCTCACATGGCTGGGCAGGGTGCCAGCCGAAAGGGCATGTGGTCCGATGCATTGGCTGCCCTGAGCAGAACCAGCCGGGGAGAGGAGAGGGGACAGGAGCACCTCTCGCCACCCTCTGCCAGGAAAGCCTGCCTGTATGTTGGGATGGCAGCTTTACTTGGCACACAGACAGTGTGAAAGCACAGCACGACCCTTCCTAGTTCTGTTTTTAAGGGTATTGCACCATTTCACTATGGGAGAAACAAGAGAGATTGTGTACTTAGGAAAGGATTGCCTAAGAAGCTGTTTTCTAACGGGGAAAAGGTGACGTGGGCACAATGGTGCCGCGAAGGGTCAGGTACCACTGAGCTGCAGTGGTCTGGTAAGAAGGACTGAGTGTTAATAGAGAGAGACAGAACATCCAGACTGAGTATAGTTATTGCAAGAATGGTTTGAAACAGATTAAAACTGGTATTTCTGAGTTGTAATGCAAAGGACTTTCAGCCTTTGGGTCGGACCCAACCTTGCCTTCATCATAGGCAGCCCACAGCTGCATAAAGCCCTCTGCCTGCTCCTTTCCAACATCCCTTCTATCTTTTCCCTGTTCCAGTCTCCACCCCTGTTCTGCCTCTCTTTGCAAGAGCTTTTGCATATATTCTGCCCCAGCCTGCACTGCCCTCTTTGCACCTTTTTGCCTCCCACTGGGAAGTAGAAAGGAGGGGCTGCAGGAAAAGGAAGGAGAAAAACTAAGGAATCCACAGTTTCATGGCAAGGGAACCCGGGCGCCAAGGGGATGCCTGGAAAAACAGACTAGAAAGATGTCATGGTGCAAAGAATGTGTGGGAATTAGGGTGTGAGGGTTTGTGTCTAAGGAGCCACTGCTCAGCGTTAGAGCCCAGGTGCGGTGTGATATCCCTTGTGTTGACAGGGGCCTTGTGTTGATATCCCTTGTGTTGACAGTCATCTGGCAACACGAGCTCTGTTAACAGAGATGAAATATGAAGATGTGTATGGGAGATTCAGGCCATGAACCTAATATTAGATGTAAAGCAGATGAAAATGCTGCTTTATTACCGAAATTTCAGATGAATGCTAAAGGACCGCGTGTGGAGACCTTCTCCCAAACGGAAAAATAAATAAAAAAACCACAAAAAACCCAACTACACAAGAAGCCCAGCATGAAGATTGACACATGTATGTTTTTAATCTACAAATTTTCATTAAATGAATGAGCCAAACTAAAATATACATCTTTGAAACAAAATTCGTAAATGATTTTGTTATCAACACCTTTCACAGAAAACCAGCAGGCCAGAGGGTGGGTGAATGTCAGCCCCTCTGGAGTCAAGAAGTCCAAGTTAGCCTTATATCGTGATGAACGGCATTTTATCTCGTTGTTTCTTATACGTTTTGAAGATTTTCTACACAGTTAACTCAGTTACCGGCGTAGTCTTAGGATCAGCTCTGACCAGGAAAAGCAGGAAGCACTGAAGTATCATGATTAAGATAGGTTGGCCTAAAGCCAATCACAATGTCTTTACTAATGGGCTTGTATTTCCTCTTTCGTGCAGATTCCTTATCTCAGTATTTATAAAAAAATCCAACAACGAAAACAAAAAAGAAGCTGTAAATAATTGTCAGATTTTCTAGGCAGTTTCATAGTGGGTACATGCTTGTTGCCTCTGCATTATTTGAGGCAGTAAAAGTCTTAGAGCCTTCCTCTTCAGTGGTTTGCCATTGTTTAGCTGTAACTTGCCGTTTGATGCAGCTTGAGTTTTTAATAATTTTCTGTAAATTCCTCCTGAATTTCACCCCCATGAAGAAATACAGAACAGGGTTAAGACAGCCATGGAAATAAGCAAGAGCTTCTGTTATGATGATTGCATATTCAAAGCTGCTGTTCAAATTAAAGCTCCAGTTTATGATCTTTATCAGTCTCAAGAAAGTATAGGGTGACTGAGTAAGAAGAAATATTGCAACAAGAGAAAATATTTTTTTTAGAGATTTGTTCTTTTGAAAACTCCTGGCATGCAGTAAGGTTCTAATAATTAGGGAGTAGCAGATTATCATGGCTAGCATGGGAATAAAATAGCCAAGGGTCACTTGGATCACTTCAAGAGCAAGTTCTGTGCCATGGTTTGGGTATTCTTCCTGACATATTGCCTTATCAATATTAAACACCTTACTAAAAATAAACTGTGGTGTGGCAAATGCTAGGGAGATCACCCAGATCAAAACACAGACTAATTTGCCCCACGTCATTCGTTTGGTTTGACACATATGTGCTTTGGTGGCAAAAGTAATAGCAATAAGCCTGTCAAAGGTGATGGATGTTAGGGTTAACATTGAAGTGTACAAGTTCAGAATATACAAGCCCCGTATAATACGACAGGCCGTGGTGCCAAAAGTCCACTCCTGACCAGCAGAATATGCCCAGAACGGCAGCGTCCAAAGGAAGACCCAATCAGCTATTGCCAAATTCACCAAAAACACGTCTGTCAGTGTCTTCAGTTTCTCATAGAAAACCAGTATGACAAAGACCAGCGCGTTTCCTGCTAGCCCAAGGATGAAAACAACCGAGTACACACAAGGCAGGAAGACTGATGTAAATGTCTGAAGATTCTCACTTCCATCTTCGTAGGAATCAGTGCTGGAGAAGTTATAATAAAAGTTATCAGCATCTGAAGTTGTCATGTTGCCTCCTTTTTAAAGGCAGCCTGTAAGGAAACACATTGAGATTTTTTTACTCAGCAAGTAATGAAATCCTAATGCATCCAGGAGACAGACAAAAATCCTAAGTGCTAACAGATAAGTGCTGTAGTAAAACATCCATCATCAACAAAAGCAAATATATTTATCTGCTGAAGAAGGTTGTCTTGACGGTCAAGGCCCAAACACAACAGCTGGTGGATTTAAACACATCATCTGTTACCAGATGATGTTACTCACGGCGACTCAGAAGATAAACAAGACAATTACAGAGGCTTCCGAAAACAGATTATGGATTAAGCTTTTAGACATATCAGTGGTTTAGTGTTTGGATCAAGGGATTCCTCATGGAGGAACCCATGAGAGAAACAGAATTAATTTTGCCAAATTCAGCCTTTGGGCTCAGGTTGCAGGCTCTAAGCATCAGAGTGCTTTGGCTTGGGTTGGACCTGTCTCAAAAAGTGGAGTTTGAGTCTCAGTGAGTGAGAGCGTTAGAGCTTGTGGTTCAGCCTTAGCTCGTTGTTTAAATGTTAGTCACGTCATCAGATGGTGGCACTTCTTTCTTTCCCCTTCTCAAGTGACTTACTGAAAATGTGGAGGATTTTCATTAATGTCTTTTCCTCATTTGGTTTTGGTTAATCCGTTTCAAACATTTTTATTACTGTCAGAGAGAGGAGTGACCACTTCTCTGTTGACCCACCTCCATCGCATGCCCTCTCGAGAGCTGATGCAGTAAGGGGATGTTTTCTGTCAGGGCTGTTGCCAGCACATAAGAATAACAGAAACAACCAGATTTGCAAGCTGTTCACCTTGTAAATAAAGCCTTTTGTGAGACAGGTAAATGGGGGTTTCAAAGATTTAGCCTAAGGTTAAATGTCCTGTCCCTTGAGCTACAAAAAGCGCATCTCTATGGGCCTAGTCCCGCTGCAAGTTATTACTCAGCATAAGATTAGCAGAATTCACCTCTGAATCATTTAGATTTGCAGGAAGGCCTCGCTGGCGTGAGTTACGTGTGTGCAGCAGATTGAACGTTACCCGAAAAGGTAGTTTCTGTGGTGCCAAGAAGCAGAGCCAGCGCAGTCTGTTAGTCACCAGAGAAGTACTATAAAACTGCTTGCCCCTTTAAAAAGTTACTGGCTCTTTATAAAATACTTTACTTTTCAATTCAGATGGAGGCCAAGCACGGGATGAAGATAACCTGCAAAAATAAGTTAGGCTCAACAACATTAAGGCCATGTGTACTGGAACAAATGGAGGCACTCTGTTTTATTTTACCTACTCCTTGCAACAGCAGTCAGCTGGTGTTTCTTGCCTCTGTCTTGTAAAGGAAGGGTGTTTTGTCCTCTGAGCTGAAACAAAGTAATTATCAGGCACTCAGTTTTGTAGTTTGATAACATAACATTCAGTTAGTAGCCTTACTGAAGTCGTACAGATACTCTAGTGTCCAAGCATACTGGAAGTTAGCCTTTAGGATAGTCTTACTGACTCTTGTAAAAGAAGAATTTTTAATCTAATGTCCATTAAAATAGACCGGTAAGCTTGTTTCTCCCTCAGTGGGTGGTAAGGTCTAAGAGAAAGTCCAGCAATTTCCTTTAAAAAGGTTTTCATTTATTCATAATGCATTGTTATTATGTTACCTGATATTTTTCTAGCCAGAAGCTTTTAAAGCATCCTGCTCGTTACTAACACACCTAGGCTAGAACCCACATTGTATGCTGTCTCAAACATCAGAGTTGTTATGCCTTGTCAGACTAGTCATTCATGGACTTATTCCAGCTTTCCTCAAAGGAAAAAACAGCAGTAATCTTTCTGCCTGAGGAGAGAGTGGGAAAGCATCGTATTAGGTAGATAGGGAAGGAGGAGGAAGAAAATTCCTTGCCAAGGAGAACAGTGACCGGGATGAGTTAATTTGCAGGGAAATGTTGTTACAGTCTATGTGGACTGAGTCTAGATTGCAGAAAGGTTTAGAAGTTTAATAGAAGCTTAAATTGGATAGGACCAACATCACTGGTAGAAAAATGAGCTAAAGAGAGTCACGTAGTGTCCAGTGTGTTAATACAGGATTTGCTTTGAGGTCTGGTTCTGTTAAAGTTAACTCTCAAATTAATGAAGCAGAAATGCAGGCAAGTGATGGAGAGTCTGAACAAGCTGTTCTGGTTTGATGCAGCATAAATAGTTCTCCTGTCACCAGAAGGCGGCTTCTTACGATTTCCACCATTCTGGGAATTGAGCATCACAGGAGCTGGTACTCTCAGTGTTACAGGGGTTTTTCCCCATTTGGTCTCCATGGTCTAATTTCTGTTGTGCTGATCAGCTATCCTGCTTTAGTAGCTGCAGCTGAAAAGCAGGGTTTAAAAAGCAATAATAAGTGATCTTGCCAGTTGTTTATTTCTGTTGTCTCAGGGTTCCAAACAGAAAATCCAATGTAGTTCAATCTTTTTTAAAAAAAATATATAAATAAGAAGTAATTTTAGCATATAATAATAAAAAGCGTTATTTGCCATGACAATATATTCAGGCTATAAACAGAAAAAGGTAAATAATGCTCATCAGCCTCATGTGATGTGTCTTGCTTAGAAATGAACCCATTTCATTACAAAAGGGTTTTGAGATAGTAATGAGAAAAGGTGAAATTATTTCATACATATTTGTTGGAAGACATGAGAACATATCAGGAAGACTCAAGCACATACCAGTTGGAAAAACAGATTCTAGGTTTAAGTGGAAAGGAGATAATTGACATACACCCTCTGAGTTCCAGATATCAAAAAAATTGTCTAAAGGCCTTTTTCAAAAACTAGCAAGTGTAAAGCAAAGAACTACTACAATAACAAGGCATCAGGAAAGATTTAATAACAAAACTAGAATGCAAAATCAGTATCTTCAACAGTTTGAATAAAACCCCACCCTTTCTCTTGAATTTTGGATAATCAGAATGGAGGATATGTACTAACAAAATCATTCAAATTTGAATATTTCTAAATGCTAAAGCTTTTTCTTTTTTTGTTCTTTTAAACTGTCTGCTTGTTCACCTGAAGTCAAGAAAACAGTCACTTACTGGACGATGTTGCATCTTAGGGGAACGCAGTCGTCTTATCTTTCAAAGGAAATGTGAAAGCAGCAGTTTGCTTTATTTATCAGTGAAGCCTGTACCGCTACATCACAGCTTTCGTAGTTGTTGTTGACCAAAGCGACACGATATGAAGTTATTCCTTTGTTTTGATTCTTGAGTGATGCTACTACAGATACAACAGCTTGAACAAGTTGTACTCTCAAGATCCAGTTCAAATTCACTTACATGTGGCCATTCGCCTGAAATGTCCAGAGTCAAATTGATTTTTCAGAAATTAATTGCAAAATTAAAACTTAATCTGTATTTACCATTTTCCTTTTTTAACTACTCATGTGTATTTTGTGACAATACTGGATTTTCCAATTCCTTCTAGTTGTTTTTCTGGGGCCAAAATATTCTAGTGACAATTTTCTGTCAGATTTTGTTGTCCACCTGAGATGGGGTGGAGATGGCTAGAAAGATACTATGTAGGTGAACCCGAAGTGAGTTTTTTACCTTTAAGTCAATCTCAGCTGTAGTTAAAGGTAGCACATGTACTATATTTTCTTTCAGAGTCAATGGGAGAAGCTGGGAGGGCCTCCATACATTTAGAAGAGAGATGGAGGGGGCCTACCCTATGCAGGGGTGACTGTTCTCACTTGCAGCAAAGGCAGGGGTGGGAATTGACTTACAGCCTGTGGATACAAGATACAGGAGAGAAATAGTTGTGAGGAGGCTCTTGAGAGTGTGCAGGGAAGTGGAGGTGCCTGGGTGACACTGCTCCATCGGTGTAGAAAAGTAGTAGCCTTACTCATGGATGGATTCTGCAAGAGAGGAAGCAGCATTCAGAGGAGCTAGTCCATGCAGTTAGGTCTTTGCAGCAGCCTGTGGTACAGTAGCTGGAGTCCTTCTGGGACTCTGTCCTATTGAGCAGTGTGCTTGTACTCCTGAGTTTGGTACCTGCAAATGTGTATAAAAAAAACCAACACCAAATTTGACTTGCCCCTACAGCATCATTTACTGAAAGAAGACTACTTGGATGAGAAATGCCAGGCCCCGTAGTGTAGTGCTCTTTAAAATTGAGTTCTCCCTTGTGCTTCATTGCATGTGGTAGCAATTCCTCTGTCTGCAATCTGTAACAAGGCACTAAGTATTTACGAACTGTCCCTGTCAAACAGAAGAACAACAGGTTTGCAACAGCCACCTGCTTTTAGCAGTTATATTCGGATGCAGAATAGGGTGTGAGGGTGATAAAGCAGTGGCTAAGCGATGTGGTAGTACATGGACCCTAAACTGATGTGAATGTCTGTCTTGAGGAAAGATAAAGTTTCCATCACGTTGCAGAGGGGGCCAGCAATCGGCCCTTTCTGCCGGAGAGGCCCCCCATTTAAATTCCTTAGAACAGTGTTCAGAGTCACTTTTGAAATGTCTTAATTGTGCCTTTATGGAGAGCTCACCTGAGCTACTCTGCCAGCCTAGTCCACAATTGCAACTGCTGGTCCTCAGTCACCAGACATGCTCCTTTTTAGACTGTATGGGCAGAGATGGCCTTCCTGTGGAGACCAGTACCCTCCTGACACCCATTTGCCCTTATCCGTACACAAGGAACCCTGGGGTTACTTCTGTGTAACTTCTAATAAACTCTGTACAAAAAGAACAGCAGCGTTCAACCCTTTATCCTGCAGTTGGGATCAAAAGAAACTCAGAGATACTTTATTTCAGCTTGTTAGCCTAACTGTGATTTCACCTGTTTTCCTCCCTTGTTTCAGAGACTGTGTTTCCATAAAATATTTTTTTGATGGCCCACTCAAAGAAGCCCTCTCCAGCATAGGAATGGTGAGGGCTGCTGCTGTGTGTGTCTCTGTACGTGTAGCTCTGTGAGGCCGAATGGCCTGCCTTGGGTTTGCCTGCAGGACACCTGCTACAACACACAGGAATTATTACTGTAACCTCAGAATTATGGTAAAGTAGAGGTGAACTGTGTGAGTTTATCTCAGGGAGAGGGCTGACAGACTAGCCATGGGTCAGCGTGAGGAACGTTGCATTGTCTAGTTGTGAAGCCCCCTGTGTGGAGAAACCACAGCGACTGCAGGGAACCTGCCGGCCCTGGGACGGAGCAGCCCCTGGGGAGGTACAGGCTGGGCACTGAGGGCTGGGCACCAGCTCGGCTGAAAGGGCCTGGAGCTCTTGGGGGATAGTGGTGTATATACTGGCTTTGCTATACCTCTCCTATAATTCTGCCTCAGTTTCACAGAATCATGGAATTGTCAGAGTTGGAAGGGACGTCTAGAGATCATCCAGTCCAACTCCCCTCCCAAAGCAGGGTTGCCCAGAGCACATCACTCAGGGCTGCATCCAGGCGGGTCTTGAAGATCTCCAGAGAAGGGGACTCCACACTCTCCCTGGGCAGCCTCTGCCAGGGCTCTGCCACCCTCACCCCAAAGAAGTTCTTCCTCAGATTTGAGTGGAACTGCCCATGTTCCAGCTTGTGCCCGTTGCCCCTTGTCCTGTCGCTAGGAACCACTGAAAAGAGTTGAGCTCTATCCTCCCTCAACCCACCCTTTAGGTACTTATAAGTATTAATAAGGTCTCCCTTTGGTCTTCTCTTCTCCAGGCTAAGGAGTCCCAGCTCTCTCAGCCTTTCCTTATCAGGGAGGTACTCTAATCCCTTAATCATCTTTGTAGCCCTACGCTGGACTCTTTCCAGTAGTTCCCTGTCTCTCTTGAACTGGGGAGCCCAGAACTGGACGCAGGATTCCAGTTGTGGCCTCACCAGTGCAGAACAGAGGGGGAGAACGACCTCCCTCTCTGGCCACACTCTTCCCTGTGCAGCCCAGGATCCCATTGGCCCTCTTGGCCACAAGGGCACATTGCTGGCTCATGGAAAGTTTTCTATCCACCAGGACTCCCAGATCCTTCTCCTCAGTAGCGCTTTCCAGAAGATCCACCCCTAGCCTATATTGGTTTCCCTGTAATATCTTCTAAAGAACTGTGAAAAGAGAAAATTCTAAGGTATCTAAGAAAAAAACAGCTCATTTTTGGGAGCAAATATCTCACAAATGAAAAAAACTAGGGTTACCGGTAGAGCTGGCTGTGACAGACTGCAGTATTTAGGCTCTTTGGGGCAGCAGCTTGGCAGTATTTCTAGTGCTGATTGCCATAATCATCTGTTTGCTGCCTCCTGCTGGGGAGGGGACTTGAAAGCACCCTGTTAATCCCAAAATGCTTATTTTGAAGCCTGTTATCTGAACCTCTTGCAAATACGGCATGTGACTGATGACTGAAAGCTGTCTCCATCTCAGAGCCTCTGCCAAACCTCTGCCATATCACAATACTAAAAAAATGTCAAAAGATCGTCCCCTGGAGCACAAAAATATCCCTTTGTCAGGCTTATTTCCTTAGCTTACTTTCTCTGTATGCACCAGTTGCCTCTGGTACAGATAGTTACTAGCGTAACTAGTTTTAAGGCAGGGGAGTTCTTTTGGTTTTTTGTTTTGTTTTTCACACAGGATGTAGCATAGTTAAATCCTACATTTTTTTCAGAGAAATGGCTGGGATTTCCTACCTACCAATATGTGGGCCACTCACAACACGGTGGTGGATCTTCATGTCTATCCATGTTTTTTCATCAGCTGCGTATGGGATGTTTTCCCATCCCTACATATGTCAGGGTCCTCCTGTGACCATTCTGTCTTCCTCCCCACCTGTAC